TATATAAATGTGTATATTTTACAAAGAAAGCTGACATTAGCTTAACAGCTAATATGCTGATGTCATGCAAAAGTTGGTTAATTTGAATATCTGGTATCTGATCTCTCAGGAGGTTAAAATTAGGGTTATGTATTAATTTAGACTAACCCAAATCTTATTCTACACCAAACCCTAAATCAGGGGTAGGCAACCTTTTAGCAGCACTGTACCGAAATAAGATTGTAAAGTCCCATAGCGTGCCGGTCCTATTTTTTAAATTGAGGTGTGCATGTTGCCGTATTCTGCTTGTGTTATTTATACTGCAGTTGCTTTGTATCATTGTATTTGTGCGTATATGAGCTATTATATTGGACATGTTCACAAGTAGTTTGTGGTGTTATATATAATATCTATGAATGTGGGCTGTGTACGTGGGGTTGCTTGTGGAATTGTGTGTTGATGGATATGTCACATTGTGTGTTTGTCTGTGAGGGGCTGTTTGGGGTATTGCATGTTGATAGGCTGCATGTGGGGTTGTGTGCATGTATGTGGATTGTCAGTGGTGTTGAGTTTGTGCGGATTGTTCTTTGACTGGTCTACGGCTGCACAGCCCCATACATGGCAAACTGTGTAGCAAACACATGCACCATGTGTTCTGACACCTTTTTATCATAGCCAGCATTACGTTTTTCAGCAATTTCTGTGTGATCGGAACCAGACAGGTTAGCCTTTGGTCCCCACATGCATTAATGAGCCTTGGGCACCCAAGACTCTGACGCCAGTTCACAAGTTGTCCTTCCTTTCCCCATTTTTGGGCGGTAGTAACCATTGTATATTGGGAACACGCCACAAGACTTACTGTTTTGAAGATACTCTGACCCAGTCGTCTAGTCATCACTATTTGGCCCTTATTAAAGTCACTCAGTTCTTTTTGCTTGGCTATATTTCCTGCTTCCAACATGTAAAATTCAAGAACTGATTGTTCACTTGCTGCCTAATATATCTATGGCAGGACCGCTGCCTGACTGTGAACTGTCTTTTCTATGTGCTGGAATGTATGCTTTCCCTTGCTAATTTTCCCCCATTCTGTGGTTTTCACATTGAATCCTGCAGATTGCTTTTTGACCACACGGGTGCGGCAGACCACTCTGATATACCATTTGGAATGTTTAGTTAGAATGTTCACAGACGTGTGAAAACCGCAGACCAGAAGGGAAACAAGTGGCACGTGCTTCCCACTTGTTCGTATCACCGAATGCCCACCAGGGACAGCATTCGCATCCCGAACCGGTCTGCGCGTACTGTCTTCTATCCATGTATCGGGAATCATTCTACCCACTCCCAACAGAGCTATAATCATTATAGGCTCGTGGCTGCCCACAAAATACGGTCTCTCGGGTGGATACCAGCGTAGGGATATCCACCCGAGAGAGGGACGCGTGCCAACAAGGAATCCCTGGGGCTGTGAGTCGGTCTCACGGCCGCACGGCCCCAGTGGCCGCGTGGAAGTGTGTGCTGACCAATGGGAGAAGGAGCGCCCATTCAAACTGGGTTCGCGCCATTCTCCTGGTTGATCGGCCAGAGGGAACGCTGATTGGTCACTGCAAGAAGCCATTGGCCAATCAGAGCAGGAGCGCCCCTCTCGTCCCTGAGCACTGATTGGCGCGAATTGGTTTTGCGCCTCTCAGCAAATTCGTGCAATCGGTTTTCGCACCCTTGCTTCGGATTGGGTGTCAAAAATTCTCTCTTCCCCGAGCGCCAATTGGTGCACAGGGGTTTTGCACCCTTTCTTCTGCTTGGGTGGCGAAACCCCTCTCCTCCCCTGTAGCTGATTGGCGCAAATTGGTTTTGCGCCTTTCAGCAGGCTGGCTGTTACTTGGTTTGGGCGCGAAGTTTGAATTCACCAGACCAAACCAAGCAACGCTGTGGAACTGATTTCGGGGATGTACAGAGCCTCGAACTCCAGACTTTAGACGCTGGTATCTCGGACTCTGTACACCCAGTAGCCCCGCTATTTTCAGGGATCCTAGATGGGACCCGGGGCTGTCTAACGATATATGGTTTACCTGTGTGACCCCTTCCTGGGGTGCCGAACATCAAAGTTTAGCCCCCTATGGAATGTGTTGGCATGTGTGTCCCTGTATGCTAATGGTATCTCCCAGAGCGGGAGATGGTTATCTGCAACCCAGCCCCCTCATGCCTGGGATTGGGTTGTGCTGGATGGAGACAAGCCGGGTTACCCAGGTCCCACTACAATATCCTACCCCATGAATGGAGCCATTGTAACGATATAATCAATGTTATTCACTTCACCGGTCATTAGTTTTATTGTTGTGGCTGATCAGTGTAAGTTGCATCTGCAATCAGAGAGAGGAGATATCCAACACTTATTCTCAGGGTTACATGAAAGAGAGATCATATTATTAAATCTTAACACACCCTTGAAGTGTTCCAACTTAATGTAGCAAACAATGTATGTATTTTTTTTTTTTTTTTGACAATCTCGTTTTTATTGAAAGGTTTTAGAACAGTGGTTACAAGTATTAAAGAGTACATAGGATAGGCAGATTGGTTACAGACATGCGTGCTGAACAAGGGTAGAGTCATCGGTGAAACACATAACGTTCACTTGGGTTACACTATTGTATCCAAGCCTGCATGTACTTGCCTAGAGCCTCGACTAAGAGAGTGCCACTGGTAGGAGGGAGAGTCAATCTCTCTGTTGCGCCTTGCATGTCACATACAAGAGGGTCATATGAAAGTGTGCGTCGTGTCTTACTGCCTTTAGGTTCTAGCCTAAGCAGTGGGTTGTGGGTAGTAAGGTCAGGTGGGCACTAGGTCGGGGTTTGGTCGTGCGAGGTCGAGAGCGCTGTGTTGCTGGTGTCTGTTGCCGTCTGGCTCTGTGTTCGACTGCCCTGGGGGGGCAGGAGTTAAGGGTGTATCACCAGTAGCCCAGGGATAGCGGGAGGAAGGAGAGGGGGGGGGAGAAAGAAAGGGGACATGGGAGAGGGAGGGAAAAGGGAAGAGAGAGAGAGAGAGAAGAGGAGGAGAAAGAGAGACGAATAAGAAGAGGAAGGGAAAAAGAGAGAGAGAGAAAAAGAAAAGAAGAAAAAAAGAGGAGAAAATAAATAAATAATTGTTGGGGGAGGGGGTAGTGTATATATTTTTAAAATCATTTTATTATTGTTTTATATTGCACCCACATATTCCACAGTGCTTTATAATTAGTGAACAAGACATACATGTAATGGTAAGAGGCAGATTTTATTTACATCAGTGGTTCTTAACACCTGGGTTGGGAACCAAATTTAGTTCCCAATGCTATTTCTTTAGGTCCCCAATGGTTAGAAGAGGCAGAAGGAGCAGTTTCCACAATAAATTAAGCACTGTAACAATACCGTCTTCCCTAACATTTGAGATCCCATTGATACAGGGGGAAGTCTATTGAAGTTGAATTATGTTTGCTACATATAATATTACATATTATAATTATATTGTATTGAGGAATGGATCACTAAGCTGGTTTTACAATTGGTGTCTATCTACAAAAATGTTAAGAAACATTGACTTTCACGAAAAAGAGTTGACGGGGGATTTGTTTAATTGAGCTTACAGTCTAATGTGTATGCACTATGACTGGATGTGTATTTATGAATGTATTGCAATAAAACTTACCCTAATATGGTTTAAAACTTTGGAAAATGTGAGTGCAAACTAACTAGTTTGTTTAAAATATATTTTTTTATTGACTTAACTAATAATAAAATAAAAGAAGTTCATGAAGTCACCTTGAAACCTTGTACCTTCATTCTGAATCCCTCCCTCTTATAAAAAAATAAAAATAGTCCCCTTTGCCATTTGAAATGTTGCAAGTTATCCCATGGGGTCAATTTCATGAGATATCATAACATCCCACAAGCAATGAAGGAATGTTAAGGCGTAAAACTTTGAAACCTACATATAGTCACTGAGGCTTGACTACCACATGTTTTCTTTAATAAAAACTCAATAAACATGTGGTGGAATAGTTAACCTTTTTTATTCAAAGAAAATATTGGGTGCTAAAAGATTGTTTTTGAATGTTGGCTTACTGCATAAAGATGGCTGTATAAGGACTTTTATAGAAATTCAGAATATAGTTGGATCTTTGTATGTAAGCCTAAGGTTACCAAGTAATCTATGATATACACCGTTATCTCCCTGCTAACGTTCTCTTCATATCAAAAGGGCTTCACAGTAGAGAAAGTGAAGGAGGTAAGGAAAATGTACAAATAAATATGGTGATCTGGGCTTGTAGATGGCTGCTGAAGCATGAAAAGTTACTGATGAAAAATGAATGTGCTGATGATGGTTCCAGAGTATTCCTGACCTTATTGTGTTAACCACCATCTGGTCCTCCTGGGCCCCCCCCTCCTTTTGCATTCCTAAATATAGTAGAATCTTACTTGTATTCAAGTATTCAGCTGCTGCCTCTGCCCCTGCTCTTCCTGCTTGATTGACATCATCAGAAGTGATTCTGTGAGCCAATCACAATGCTTTCCCATAGGATTTTAACCGCAGGTGGTTCCCTTATTTACCACTATAATGTCTTAAAGCATAGAACTTAGTAGGGCTAACCATACAGATACCTTAGCCATAATTTTATATACTTAGTGTAAGAGATCCTCTATTTAAAATATATAAATAATTGAGAATACAATATAAAATAAGGATTGTCTTGGAAGCAATAAAGTTTTGTCTTTTTAGATATTTATTATATAAAAATATAAATATAGACATATAAAATCCATTACAGCAGAGTTTATAAGATTAAACTAAATGCTTGCAAATATCATTAATAGGTTAACATACCCTTCTGAACATGTCATCATGTCAGCCTCTCTGTCATTTTAAGATGGAGCAGCGTCTGTCTCCAAGTCTCTCCTCTGTGTTTTTTGTTTTTTTTAATTCTTTATTTATTCCAAGGCAGAACATTACACTGAGAACATGATGCATCAAAACATTGTAATATATTGTTACACCGTGCAAAACAGTATTGTATCGTATTTGCAATAACAGTGAGCTAACAATCTTTGCACCCCCTTACTGCAACATAGTAACATGAAGTGTATCTATCATACATTACAGCACTGTATCTCTGTCCTCCCTGGTAGATTTTTGTTTTACATGAAAAATATAAAAAAATATAACAAGGCTAAGACCGCCAAACAAACATTTCTTTTGTCAATAGAATATGCCCCATCCATTCCCCTGCGATTATGCACGGGCCCCATATGTCTTTTTCTCTAGCTCTATCGAATTATTATCCTTTTGCACCTATAATCGTCTGACCACATCCTTTAGCAGTGCCAGTTGTTTACACATTGTAAGGCAATGTTAGGTCAGTTGTATATAATTCTCTCAGACAAAAGTAAGAGAAGAGTAAAGATATAAGAGGGGTACGTGTGAAGATAGAAAGAGATAGTACAGGGAAAGGGAAAAGTAAGAGAAAGAAGTATGTGGAGGGGGAGCGCGGAGGAATCCAGCCTAACTTACATCCACTCCATCCAAACCTTCCCAAGGGAGTCTCGCTCGTGTGTACATCACGCACTTGCTGCGCTAGCTACCCAAGGGCCCCAAACTTTTTCAAACTTTTTCATTGTACCCCGAACCCGTGCTGTTAGGTCATCCATCAAATAATTATCTTTAATTTTCTGAATCACCACGGCGATTTCTGGGGCCTCTCTGCGCAACCATACCTGTGCCAAAGCTATCCTAGCGGCTAAGTTCACCTCTATGTAATAGGGTCAGTTCTGATTTCGTCCAGTTTTCTATAGATCTAGCTAACAAAAATACCCATGGGTCGAGCTTAACCTCCCTCTCAAATATTTCTTGCAGCAACTGCGCAATTTGTTGCCAATAAACTTTTGTGATCGGGCATTCCCACCACATGTGGATATACGTGCCCTTGAGACCGCACCACCACCAGCATAAGTCTGTCGTAAGATGATTTATACGGCTTAACTTTACCGGCGTAGCATACCATCGAAATAACGTCTTATATGATTGTTCCTGTAACAAGACATACATAGAGGACTGCGCGGCTGCTTCCCATATTTCTCCTCTGTGTCTTAACATTTAAAAGTACACCTATTTATACCTTAGGTGTCTCCATTTTAGGGTTACCATAGTTCATATATGGAAAAAGTAACACTTCTTTTACTTTATTCATTTAGGACCTCCCTTAATTTGGCAAACATACAAGGCCATTACTAAAGGGTGCATATGTCATGGAAATTTTCCTGACTTAGTTCAAGATGGCATCTTAAAGTCTGAACATTCTTATCTACTAAGGTTACTACAGTATATTATGTACTGAAAGAGTCGTAGCATAGCCTTGAAGCTTGTTTATGCATTATTGTTATTGTAATTCGTCTGGGTCAAAATGGCGCAAACATATTATGCACTGAGGTTATTGCTTAAAGAAACAGTTATGAAAAACAATATGTTCCATTTCTAACACCTTGTCAGTTTGCAATATCTCTTAAAGACAAAGTACACAGTTTAAGAAATACAACATTTCATTCTAAAACTTGTAATATTTGCATTTGCCCATAACACCCTCTCCATTAAACTGTGGGCATTGTAGCGCATTTCTTCCTTAAATTAGTAGGAAATCTATATTCCTCTTCTTCTGCTCCTTCCTATTAACCACTTTTTCTGAGTTGTAGACAACAAGCAGTGTCTTGTACTGTGAGGTGCTTTGATAGTCAATCAGGTTTTTCAGTACCATGTTCCATCTTGAGAAATAGCTAGGTGTTGACAGTTATCAGCCTATATTTCTTTTTCTGGTCATCTTCTGTCTACATACTAGCAATGTCCAGAATTAGCATAGCACTTCTTTTCAGCATAGGAAGGCTGTTTGCGGTAGTCACTCAATGATAAACTATATGGCAAAATATTTTCTTAATCACCTTCATAGGTGCATCCAAAGTCTTTCACAAGCATCTGTCTCGTCTTTTTCTGTTTTCAGCATGCTTTGTCATCATTGTTGAGTCCATTATTAGGATTTGTAATAGTCCAATCACATCTTTCTCATGTATAATCGGTTTTTGGAATGATCTCAATAGGTTCCTTGTGAAATACCAGTGTAGGTCACATTAGCAATCATTTCACTGTGAGCAGGGCCGGTGCAAGGATTTTTGCCGCCCTAGGCAAAAGTAAAGTTTGCCACCCCCCATGTGACATCACAATGCTCCACCCATATGATCTGCCATGTTAACTAACGCCAGTGCTGCAGTGCCGCCGTGTTTAAATTTTTTTTTTTTTTTTAATTCTTTATTTTTTTGAGGCATGTGATTATGGTGGTACAGAAAAAAGAGAGGGAGACTTGCAAGAGTTGTACAGATTAGGGTCATCGTAACATATTACAGAATTCTCCTAGGATTGTCAACCTCATTTTATATTATATGAACAAGCTTAAACCATAGATAGATATCAGGTAAGGTATTCGCTAGGCAATGTACCTTTTTCATAAAATAGGTACATAGATAAGGCTATATGCAAGCACTATATTCTGTTTTCGCTTTTTACTGGATACATGCTTTAAGTACTTGCACTGCTAGGAGTAGCATGCTTCAACATGGGCAGGTAAGCATCGCTTAAGCTCCTGGCCTAGCAGCCTTATACCTTAGGTGCATTTAAAGGCTGGTTACCATAGTTGCATATAGGCTCAAAAAAGTAGGTTACCATTACTTCTTTTACTGGATCATCATCCATCTCAGCCATGTAGCTGGAAGGCTGCCCTGCTCAGCAATTCTGGCAAACATTACAGAGGCCATTACTAAAGGGTCCATATGTCTGGCAAATTTTCCTGACTTAGTTCAAGATGGCATCTTAAAGTCTGAACACATCTTATAGTACTAAGGTTACTACAGTATATTACGTACTGAAAGAGTCGTAGCATAGCCTTGAAGCTTGTCTTATGCATTATTGTTATTGTAATTCGTCTGGGTCAAAATGGCGCAAACATATTATGCACTGAGGTTATTGCTTAAAGAAACAGTTATGAAAAACAATATGTTCCATTTCTAACACCTTGTCAGTTTGCAATATCTCTTAAAGACAAAGTACACAGTTTAAGAAATACAACATTTCATTCTAAAACTTGTAATATTTGCATTTGCCCATAACACCCTCTCCATTAAACTGTGGGCATTGTAGCGCATTTCTTCCTTAAATTAGTAGGAAATCTATATTCCTCTTCTTCTGCTCCTTCCTATTAACCACTTTTTCTGAGTTGTAGACAACAAGCAGTGTCTTGTACTGTGAGGTGCTTTGATAGTCAATCAGGTTTTTCAGTACCATGTTCCATCTTGAGAAATAGCTAGGTGTTGACAGTTATCAGCCTATATTTCTTTTTCTGGTCATCTTCTGTCTACATACTAGCAATGTCCAGAATTAGCATAGCACTTCTTTTCAGCATAGGAAGGCTGTTTGCGGTAGTCACTCAATGATAAACTATATGGCAAAATATTTTCTTAATCACCTTCATAGGTGCATCCAAAGTCTTTCACAAGCATCTGTCTCGTCTTTTTCTGTTTTCAGCATGCTTTGTCATCATTGTTGAGTCCATTATTAGGATTTGTAATAGTCCAATCACATCTTTCTCATGTATAATCGGTTTTTGGAATGATCTCAATAGGTTCCTTGTGAAATACCAGTGTAGGTCACATTAGCAATCATTTCACTGTGAGCAGGGCCGGTGCAAGGATTTTTGCCGCCCTAGGCAAAAGTAAAGTTTGCCACCCCCCATGTGACATCACAATGCTCCACCCATATGATCTGCCATGTTAACTAACGCCAGTGCTGCAGTGCCGCCGTGTTTACATTTTTTTTTTTTTTTGAATTCTTTATTTTTTTGAGGCATGTGATTATGGTGGTACAGAAAAAAGAGAGGGAGACTTGCAAGAGTTGTACAGATTAGGGTCATCGTAACATATTACAGAATTCTCCTAGGATTGTCAACCTCATTTTATATTATATGAACAAGCTTAAACCATAGATAGATATCAGGTAAGGTATTCGCTAGGCAATGTACCTTTTTCATAAAATAGGTACATAGATAAGGCTATATGCAAGCACTATATTCTGTTTTCGCTTTTTACTGGATACATGCTTTAAGTACTTGCACAGTTGGTATGTTTAAGTGCTAGGAGTAGCATGCTTCAACATGGGCAGGTAAGCTAGTTTATAAATGTGGGATCGCTTACCAACGAAGCTCCTGGCATAGGCTAGCAGCTAGAGAGGAGCTTAATTAAAATAGCGGTATGACATGCTGTGGTGAGTGTTAGTGACTGAAATCACCAGGGATAGATCTGCCCCTATACATGCTACAATCCACAGAGTGCTGCAGTCGGTAAGTCCGAGGCTGGTATTAGCCCTCCTGATGAGTCTCGTGTTGGAGGCAAGTTGCATCTCGGTTAGCGGTGTCTAGTTGTGTGCGGGCGTTGAGGGTAGTCAATGGGCATTGTTGCTGTGGTATCGGCTTGGGTCAGTAGTCTAGCAAAGGTTACCATTAGTGCCGCTGGTGGGCCTCTTCGATCAGTCTGTTTCAGACGCGACCTCAGGGACATAGAGTGAGTGGAGCTTCCGTGGGCCCCTCATGCCGACTCTGCCCTCCATCTCCAGCCCCAGCCCCCTCGCCATGTAGCTGGAAGGCAGGATTGTGTGCAGGCTTGTTCGGTAGGGGTGATGCTCAGCAAGGTGGTTCCGTCTGCAGACAGGCGAAGTTGCGTTATCCATTACAGATTGTGGCGCCGCCATTTTAATGCCCTGGTTCGTAGCCCGTAACTCCTGGTAGGCCTGCTGTAGGGCCTTTGTAGGGCGGTGTTTCCCTCCGATGGGGACCGGGATAACCCCCCCGGTCCATGGGGGGGGAAGCGAGGCCTGCGAGGTGCATCGCAAGGATGCCGCCGGGTGGCCAGGTTCACAAGCAGGACGGCGGCCGTCCGTCCCGCTCTCCACCCTCATAGGCCGCAGGCCCCAAAGTCCCAAATCTCCTGCGGGGGGCTCTGGAACTCCCGATCTCAGGGACTGCGGTGGCTCCAGTTACTGCCTGGGTGCTTAAGACGGCTTCTGGTCACTCAGATTGCTTTGTTTTTAAAGTTTTGTGCCATAGGGGACCAAATGTGTCAGGAGCCTCTCTAGCCTGCGACCGGTCAGCATGGCGGTCAGGCCCCGCCCCCCCCGTGTTTACATTTTAAGGCATGCAGGGACAGGCTATAGACACCAGAAC